ATCCAACAGGCCTCCAGACATTCTTCCATCTATACCTATGAAAGAAATTGTTTGTCTATCCACGGTTGAATACCAGATGTTTGAGGGTAATTTCAACCAACCATTCAAGATGACACTTGGATGATCTGTGACTGCCACAGGTAAGTCGGTTTCGGCCATAATGTCCCTCTAAGAAATATCAATTCTTACATCAGTTTTCATGGTGTGAAATCAGGAATTTGTGTTCCATAGAGGCTACGAGCATTTATTTCATCTTTTCCTGATATTAGATTTTCTGAGAGGAGAGAGGGGAGACACGCACAGATAGATATATAGTGTGTGAGAGAGAGAGAGAGAGAGAGAGAGAGAGAGAGAGAGAGAGAGAGAGAGAGAGAGAGAGAGAGAGAGAGAGAGAGAGAGAGAGGCGAAGAGGGAGATAGGAATGCATTTTGGCAAGAGACTGGAAATCCAGATATAATGACATTTCAATAATTAAAAGTAATTGTAAATGACTAACTAGACAGGAAAAGTACAGCTCTAGCATGTAAACGACCAACTAAATGTTCGCAAGTGGTTTGCGAGAGAAAAACCTTATAGTTCCAGCTATAATAATATTAATAATAATAACTACTACTACTTTTACTACTATTACTACTATTACTACTACTACTACTTCTAATAAAAATACCACTTATATCAATCACAAAGAAATCCTAATAACATGATATATCACTGAGAAAATAATTCTGAGGTGACTCGAACCAGCGTCCCGGTAATTCCCAGACACCTGCCTTAACCCACGCGGCCATTGTAATTTCTTTGTGATCTGAAGGTCAGAGTGTAGGTGGGCCTATTGTCTAAATCCTCGTTTGCCACTGGTTCGGGATTCCAGAACCCTCTGATGAGTTCAGTATTGTTCTGGGTTATCTTATCTTGAGGTTATCTTGAGATGATTTCTGGGCTTTTTTTTAGTGTTGATTGACTTTTGTCGTGGCCGGGTGGGTTAAGACAGGTGTTTGACAATCTCCAAAACAACGGTTCAAGTCACCTAATTCCCAAAATAGTTGACAAATAGTTATAACAACATTATAGGGGGGTACCACCACTGGTGCAATTATAGGGACCCACAGCCTCAGAGAAGGGAACACAGAGCATTCAGGGAAAAACTTGCCATTTAACTCTGAATACGTAAGAGTGTTCGCGTGTGTGTGTGTGTATATATATATATATATATATATATATATATATATATATATATATATATATATATATATATATATATATATATATATATATATGTATTATATTGAAAACCGAAAATTAATTGAAGAAAAGGAGCATCAAATGGAAATCTCAAGTTCCAACAGCGACATTAAACTTGTGAAGCTCTCATTAACAGCTTCAGACAGCCGGCCTCCAACACTCTCTGCTCGAGCGTTCGCCATTAATTCTCTCTCCGTGAATTCAAATTCATCTTAAGCCTTATTTATTTTCCTTTCGTCACCTTGTATCTGATCCCTCTATGTCTGCCACTGACACCCTCTCTTTCCCTCTCCCCCTTCTCTCTCTCTCTCTCTCTCTCTCTCTCTCTCTCTCTCTCTCTCTCTCTCTCTCTCTCTCTCTCTCTCTCGCTAAGTCCGCCTCGCGCAACGAAACATTTCTCGGAGCACAAACCAGTGATATATGTTTCTCTAGGTCTCGTAGTTTATTTCAAAACCAACAACATAATTTTTTACTCGCATCTATTTGTGCAAAAATAAATTGACAAATGGGTATTTTGGACCTCGCTTAATACTTTGTAGCTGTTTGTTCGTGTGTCTCTCTTAGTCTATCTGTATGTGTTTGTTAATCTTTCTCATACTCTGTCTTTACATGTTTGAACGTTTGTCTGTCTGACTTAATGTCTATCTGTTTGTCTCTTTCCTTTATTCACTATTCATCTCATCGTCTTATCTCATTGGAAGCGCGAAACTGAATAAAAATTGTGTATATATAGATAATGATATAGATGAAAATGAAAATCTAAGCCGGTAGAAAAGAGATTTCAAACACTGAGGCAGAGGAAGAAGGAGAGGCAAAATTTAAGTCATTGGCATGAAGTTAAACGCTTCCATGACCATAATCAAAGCAAGTAAGGCAGCCAGGAATCATCCAGGACTTAATATACATTTCAACACCTTCTCTTGGACACCCAATCCCCAGCCCATCCCCCTTCCTCTACCCCATTCCTCTACCATCATTTATCTGTATTCTGGAAAAGATAGAACACTGTATGTGACGACACGTCTCTGGTCTTGGCCCGTTCTGGTGTGTCATGCCAGTACATCAGAGCCTTCAACATAGAAGAGCTGTTGATGGCCTTACTGTAATGCACTTCACCAATGTTCTCAAGCTTACCCACCTGGACAATTTTAGTGGACATCAATATGTTGGCACCCACAACACAAGGCGCTCAGCCATCAACAACCTCATGCTGGCTGTTCCATTCTCAAGAACATCAAACGATCAGCGATCATTTATTCCTAGGCTGTTGTACAAGCATTAGAAATATAATCACCCAACACGTACATAAGCTGTGTACATACATATGTACATTCATGCATATGTCGTTAGCCAATCATATGAAGGTTCTGGCACACGGCTCCTCTTCATCATCTTACTCACATGATCATAACAAGAAGAATAAACAACACGCTCATCAAATAAATGTTTCTTATGCCAGGCTTCAGATGAGCTGATGTAGGACAGAAATTCTTATCTTGCTGTTTAATTAAAAACATCAATGGTATTCCTAGTGATCCGTCTTAGAGAGAGAGAGAGAGAGAGAGAGAGAGAGTGAGAGAGAGAGAGAGAGAGAGAGAGAGAGAGAGAGAGAGAGAGAGAGAGAGAGAGAGAGAGAGAAATTTCTTTGCTATCCTTTCTTTCCTTCTCTGCATCGAAGAATCTTGTAAAAGAAATCCTACCACAACTCCTGTGTGATTCTTCAGGGGCTACACGATCGTGTCTTCATTGATAGTCCTAATCAGTGGGATGCTCTTACAGCACCAGCACCCAGACCAGACTCAGGAAAACAGCACAAACAGCTCAGCTGAGACAGCCCAGTGGTGGATAAAAAAGCTAAGGCCTTGCTTCGCGCGGTGCTGCAATAACAGGAGATGGTTCGCCTTAGATCTGTTGGAGCTCGCCCATGCAGGAGGGCCTTTACCAGTATCTTTGTCTGCATCTATCACCCGTCTAGATCCAGAGATCCACCGTATTGCATGGATACTTCGCCTTGATGCTCCACTTCACACAAGTTTATTTGCAACATGGTTTAAGCTGGCATATATGGCTAGCATGTTCTGTGCAGAACCTCCAGTAGGTGGCATCTAGTGGGTGGCATCCAGTGGGTGGCATCTAGTGGGTGGCATGCAGTGGGTGGCATCTAGTGGGTGGCATCTAGTGGGTGGCATCCAGTAGGTGGCATCCAGTGGGTGGCATCCAGTGGGTGGCATCTAGTGGGTGGCATCCAGTGGGTGGCATCCAGTAGGTGGCATCCAGTGGGTGGCATCCAGTGGGTGGCATCTAGTGGGTGGCATCCAGTGGGTGGCATCTAGTGGGTGGCATCCAGTGGGTGGCATCTAGTGGGTGGCATCCAGTGGGTGGCATCCAGTGGGCGGCATCTAGTGGGTGGCATCCAGTGGGTGGCATCCAGTGGGTGGCATCTAGTGGGTGGCATCTAGTGGGTGGCATCTAGTGGGTGGCATCCAGTGGGTGGCATCTAGTGGGTGGCATCCAGTGGGTGGCATCCAGTGGGTGGCATCCAGCATCTAGTGGGTGGCATCTAGTGGGTGGCATCCAGTGGGTGGCATCCAGTGGGTGGCATCTAGTGGGTGGCATCCAGTGGGTGGCATCCAGTGGGTGGCATCCAGTGGGTGGCATCTAGTGGGTGGCATCCAGTGGGTGGCATCCAGTGGGTGGCATCCAGTGGGTGGCATCTAGTGGGTGGCATCCAGTGGGTGGCATCTAGTGGGTGGCATCCAGTGGGTGGCATCCAGTGGGTGGCATCTAGTGGGTGGCATCCAGTGGCATCCAGTGGGTGGCATCCAGTGGGTGGCATCCAGTGGGGCATCCAGTGGGTGGCATCCAGTGGGTGGCATCCAGTGGGTGGCATCTAGTGGGTGGCATCCAGTGGGTGGCATCCAGTGGGTGGCATCCAGTGGGTGGCATCCAGTGGGTGGCATCCAGTGGGTGGCATCCAGTGGGTGGCATCCAGTGGGTGGCATCCAGTGGGTGGCATCCAGTGGGTGGCATCTAGTGGGTGGCATCCAGTGGGTGGCATCCATCATCAGTGGGTGGCATCCAGTGGGTCAGTGGGTGGCATCCAGTGGGTGGCATCTAGTGGGTGGCATCCAGTGGGTGGCATCTAGTGGGTGGCATCCAGTGGGTGGCATCTAGTGGGTGGCATCCAGTGGGTGGCATCTAGTGGGTGGCATCCAGTGGGTGGCATCCAGTGGGTGGCATCTAGTAGGTGGCATCTAGTGGGTGGCATCTAGTGGGTGGCATCCAGTGGGTGGCATCTAGTGGGTGGCATCCAGTGGGTGGCATCCAGTGGGTGGCATCTAGTGGGTGGCATCCAGTGGGTGGCATCCAGTGGGTGGCATCTAGTGGGTGGCATCCAGTGGGTGGCATCTAGTGGGTGGCATCCAGTGGGTGGCATCCAGTGGGTGGCATCTAGTGGGTGGCATCCAGTAGGTGGCATCTAGTGGGTGGCATCCAGTGGGTGGCATCTAATGGGTGGCATCCAGTGGGTGGCATCTAGTAGGTGGCATCCAGTGGGTGGCATCTAGTGGGTGGCATCCAGTGGGTGGCATCTAGTGGGTGGCATCCAGTGGGTGGCATCTAGTAGGTGGCATCCAGCGGGTGGCATCTAGTGGGTGGCATCCAGTGGGTGGCATCTAGTGGGTGGCATCCAGTGGGTGGCATCTAGTGGGTGGCATCCAGTGGGTGGCATCTAGTGAGTGGCATCCAGTGGGTGGCATCTAGTGGGTGGCATCCAGTGGGTGGCATCTAGTGGGTGGCATGCAGTGGGTGGCATCCAGTAGGTGGCATGCAGTGGGTGGCATCCAGTAGGTGGCATCTAGTGGGTGGCATGCAGTGGGTGGCATCCAGTAGGTGGCATCTAGTGGGTGGCATGCAGTGGGTGGCATGCAGTGGGTGGCATCCAGTAGGTGGCATCTAGTGGGTGGCATCCAGTAGGTGGCATCTAGTGGGTGGCATGCAGTGGGTGGCATCCAGTAGGTGGCATCTAGTGGGTGGCATGCAGTGGGTGGCATGCAGTGGGTGGCATCTAGTGGGTGGCATCCAGTAGGTGGCATGCAGTGGGTGGCATCCAGTAGGTGGCATGCAGTGGGTGGCATCCAGTAGGTGGCATCTAGTGGGTGGCATGCAGTGGGTGGCATCCAGTAGGTGGCATCTAGTGGGTGGCATGCAGTGGGTGGCATGCAGTGGGTGGCATCCAGTAGGTGGCATCTAGTGGGTGGCATGCAGTGGGTGGCATCCAGTAGGTGGCATCTAGTGGGTGGCATGCAGTGGGTGGCATCCAGTAGGTGGCATCTAGTGGGTGGCATGCAGTGGGTGGCATGCAGTGGGTGGCATCCAGTAGGTGGCATCTAGTGGGTGGCATGCAGTGGGTGGCATGCAGTGGGTGGCATCCAGTAGGTGGCATCTAGTGGGTGGCATCTAGTGGGTGGCATCTAGTACTCACCTATGCAGGCGATGAGTCACAATAACGTGGCTGAAGTATGTTGACCAGACCACACACTAAAAGTTGAAGGGACGACGACGTTTCGGTCCGTCCTGGACCATTCTCAAGTCGATTAGTACTCACCTAATTGTACTCACCGAATTGTGCTTGCGGGGGTTGAGCTTTGGCTCTTTGGTCCCGCCTCTCAACTGTCAATCAACTGGTGTACAGATTCCTGAGCCTACTGGGCTCTATCATATCTACATTTGAAACTGTGTATGGAGCCAGCCTCCACCACATCACTTCCTAGTGCATTCCATTTATTAACTACTCTGACACTGAAAAAATTCTTTCTAACGTCTCTGTGGCTCATCTGGGTACTAGTGGGTGGCATCCAGTGGGTGGCATGCAGTGGGTGGCATCCAGTAGGTGGCATCTAGTGGGTGGCATGCAGTGGGTGGCATCCAGTAGGTGGCATCTAGTGGGTGGCATGCAGTGGGTGGCATGCAGTGGGTGGCATCCAGTAGGTGGCATCTAGTGGGTGGCATCTAGTGGGTGGCATGCAGTGGGTGGCATCCAGTGGGTGGCATCCAGTGGGTGGCATCCAGTGGGTGGCATCTAGTGGGTGGCATCCAGTGGGTGACATCTAGTGGGTGGCATCTAGTGGGTGGTATCCAGTGGGTGACATCTAGTGGGTGGCATCCAGTGGGTGACATCTAGTGGGTGGGATGTAAAACACAGTAAAGTTAGCGACATCATCAAGAGGAGCCTCGCCACAGCCCAGCGTTAAGCTGAAACAAAACCTCGTTTTCTATTGTGTATTTTCTATTCTAACATTCTATGCTTCGCCATGATGGTATTTCTGTACAGCCCTGACAGAACGACAAACAACTGGTGTGGGAGAACACTAGTGTGTATCCACCCTGGTTGACACCTGTATATACTTGATCACTGTCCTGCGTGTAGTGCTGACCACCATTGAGAAGCAGAATAACCAAAGAAATACAGGGACTTGGACCCTCGGTACACATAACCTCCCATAGTATCTGAGACACTTGGCCCTTGGGGTAAGGGTGCCGTAAGGTTTCTCAAGGAATTTTGTTCTAGGTTCAGTGCCACTACTAGAGACAAAAGCTGTTAATTTTCTTTTTCAGCGCCACAGTTAGGCGAACCATAGGGATAAACGCCTATTGTGTCCTTGCTTCCTGTAGGAATGCTAAAGAACTTCAAGAGTTTTACAACCTTTAACCTTTTCACAGTACCAACTTGAAACTGTAACTTTTAAACATGTCTAATAAAGCCACATAAAACAAAAGGGTAAAAAGTTAAACAGGAAGAAGGAAGACGCATTTTGGATTCGACGTAAAAGTCTATTTTAATGCTTCGTATGTTTATATCTCCGAGCCATTGGGTTCCTCTCCAGGCAGAGGTAGTACCACCCAATTTACACAAAAATATATATGTATACACATATATATTTATTCATTTTGCCCTCTTTACTTTGTTTCCATGTATCTCTTTCACGATAACAGGAAAATATTTAGTTTTTGACTGACAATAGACACAGTTTTTTCAAGCACCTGTGACGCACATGCTGCCAGCAGTGTCCACACTGCACTTCACTCCGCTGTACATTGTTGCACACACACACACACTGCGGGGGGACTCGTAGCCTGGTGGATAGCGCGCAGGACTCGTAATTCTGTGGCGTGGGTTCGATTCCCGCACGAGGCAGAAACAAATGGGCAAAGTTTCTTTCACCCTAAGTGCCCCTGTTACCTAGCAGTAAATAGGTACCTGGGAGTTAGTCAGCTGTCACGGGCTGCTTCCTGGGGTGTGTGTGTGTGTGTGTGGCGTGGAAAAAAAAAAAAAAAAAAAAAAAAAAAAAAAAAAAAAAGTAGTTAGTAAACAGTTGATTGACAGTTGAGAGGCGGGCCGAAAGAGCAAAAGCTCAACCCCCGCAAAAACACAACTAGTAAACACACACACACACACACACACACACACACACACACACACACACACACACACACACACACACACACACCAACCCGTCCTCTTCAAAATAACGTCGCTTTTGGGTCGTATCCGCGCTATGGCCAAAAGTGGAAGCAATTTGAAACGAAATCGGCTCACAAAAGTGACGTACTGTCCTGTTTTCTGTTTGAGTCCTACGGCTTACTCGGAAAGGTCAGAATAGGAAACTTTCAATTAACGTTTTTCATAACGTTTTGAAACTTTATGAGAATTTCCTGCCCACGTAACCTATCAGAGGACCCTTAACTAACAGTTGTTGAAAAAAAATCTCAAATTTATTTTCATTTTTTCATTTTCAAATTACGTCCACTTTCGGCCATACGGGCAAACGGCCAAAAACGACGTTATTTTTATTTAAAAGGACAGGTTGGGCATACACACACACACACACACACACACACACACACACACACACACACACACACACACACACACACACACACACACACACACAAACACACACACACACACACACACACACACACACACACACACACACACACACACACACACAATGAAGGGGAACAGCCTACCTGTAACGATTCGAGAAAGAGACCTGGGAGTGGATGTGACACCTAATCTAGCTCCTGAGGCACATATAAATAGGATAACGACAGCAGCGTACTCTACACTGGCGAAAATTAGAACTTCATTCAGAAACCTAAATGAGGAAGCTTTTAGGGCACTTTACACTGCCTACGTGAGACCCGTCTTAGAGTATGCCGCGCCATCATGGAGCCCCCACCTGAAGAAAACACATAAAGAAACTGGAGAAGGTTCAGAGGTTTGCGACGAGTCTTGTCCCAGAGTTACGAGGGATGGGATATGAAGAGCGGCTGAAGGAACTGAACCTAACGACACTAGAGAAAAGAAGGGAGAGAGGAGATATGATAGGGACATATAAAATACTCAGGGGAATTGATAAAGTGGAAATAGATGAAATGTTCACACGTAATAATAACAGAACGAGGGGACATGGGTGGAAACTGGAAACTCAGATGAGTCACAGAGATGTTAGGAAGTTTTCTTTTAGCGTGAGAGTAGTAGAAAAATGGAATGCACTTGGGGAACAGGTTGTGGAAGCAAATACTATTCATACTTTTAAAACTAGGTATGATAGGGAAATGGGACAGGAGTCATTGCTGTAAACAACCGATAGCTAGAAAGGCGGGATCCAAGAGTCAATGCTCGATCCTGCAAGCACATATAGGTGAGTACATATAGGTGAGTACACACAGAGGGGTCTGATAGCTGACTGGACAGGGCGCAGGACTCGTAATCCTGTGGACTCTTCTACTGCAGGTCAGGGCAGCCCTCTCCTACTGCAGGTCAGGGCAGCCCTCTCCTACTGCAGGTCAGGGCAGCCCTCTCCTACTGCAGGTCAGGGTAGCCCTCTCCTACTGCAGGTCAGGACAACCCTTTCCTACTGCAGGTCAGGGCAGCCCTCTCCTACTGCAGGTCAGGGCAGCCCTCTCCTACTGCAAGGTCAGGGCAGCCCTCTCCTACTGCAGGTCAGGGCAGCCCTCTCCTACTGCAAGGTCAGGGCAGCCCTCTCCTACTGCAAGGTCAGGGCAGCCCTCTCCTACTGCAAGGTCAGGGCAGCCCTCTCCTACTGCAGGTCAGGGCAGCCCTCTCCTACTGCAAGGGCAGGAAAGTATTTAAAGAGTCGACCCGTCGTCTGGCCAGGAGTCACTAGAGAATGAAGCAGATGACGTGAAGTACAGAGAAGAAAAAGAAGTACACAGGCTCCTCCTAAGAGGCACCAAATTTGGCTTTCTCTAATGTTATAAAATAATACAAAATAGAGGATTGTATTATAAGTCATTAATTTAATTTCTTGAATTTAAAGAATTATATGAATTTTGTCTCGCGATATGTTATTAAACCGTTGTAAAATGACGTTACGCTGAAATAGAATATCAAATTGAAGATGCTTGCTGGGCTAATGAAATTCCTTCCTGAGTCGCTACTATTTTCGAGGTAGTGAGAGAGAGAATGACACACAAGGGAGGGGAAGATGAGGAGGAAAGGTGGAGAGGCGAGGTAATCTAAAAAAATATAAAAGAAAGTGAGGATTTTGTTAGGAAAGGAAGTGGAGGACAGATTGTCGTTTCATGAGGTGCACAACCTGTATGGTGTTCCGTAGGGGGGGGGGGAGGTGACCTGTACGGTGTTCCGTAGGGGGGGGAGGTGACCTGTACGGTGTTCCGTAGGGGGGGAGGTGACCTGTACGGTGTTCCGTAGGGGGGAGGTGACCTGTACGGTGTTCCGTAGGGGAGGGAAGTGACCTGTACGGTGTAGGGGAGGAAGATGACCTGTACGGTGTTCCGTGTAGTGTGACCTATACAGTACTAGGACCGGATAGTTAGAGGATGAACGACAACCTATCTATGGTAACACTGCCATCCCTGCAAACACTTGCATGTCAGTTGCAGACTTCTTAAAGATTTGTCCACGACACAATTTGTGGCAGGTTCGTATGTGAAATATGGAAGCTGCACTAAATTATTTCAACACGTGTTTCTTGCAGCAGAGAGGCAGCTAGTACCTAGTATGACCACTTCGCATGATGGGTGACTTGTAGCAGGCAGCTAGTACCTAGTATGACCACCTCGCATGATGGGTGACTTGTAGCAGGCAGCTCGTACGTAGTATGACCACCTCGCATGATGGGTGACTTGTAGCAGGCAGCTAGTGCATAGTATGACCACCTCGCATGATGGGTGACTTGTAGCAGGCAGCTAGTGCATAGTATGACCACCTCGCATGATGGGTGACTTGTAGCAGGCAGCTAGTGCATAGTATGACCACCTCGCATGATGGGTGACTTGTAGCAGGCAGCTAGTGCATAGTATGACCACCTCGCATGATGGGTGACTTGTAGCAGGC